ATGCATCCTGTTGTGTATTATATATTTCTTTACTGAAAGCCGTCACAACACAACAATTAATAATATATGTATGTAGCTTCAAGTAGTACTTTACTATATGTTTCGGCTTTCAAGAAACCATCATCAGGTAAAGTAAAAGTAAAGCTATCCCTGTAAGAGGCCGTGAAGGCCCATAGGGTTGTGAGACGTTGAGGCTCCCACATTATCTAGACAATCGGCTCAAAGATGGCGGTAAGGTTGTCAGCCTTACGCGCCGGCCGCGCTTTACTCCCCAGGAAAATTATTTATTTAATTCCTGGTACTCATTTCTGTTAGAGGCTGAGTGAACCCCAGGGTCATAGTGCGGCTGGAAGGATTAGGTCAACTGAAAAAAATCCAATGACCTCACAGGTAAATACACTTAAAAACTTCTTTAGCTTTTGAATCGCGTGCTAATTACATGATGTAGTATTAGATTTTTCAAATAGTATACAATAATATAAAATATAAAATTACAATGAAAGTAAAAGTCTTAAAATGAACTTGTTACAAAATTAAAACACAGTTAAGAGTTGTACATATAATTATATTTTAAAGTAGGTAGTAGTAATCATAATGTGGTGGTGGCGCCCGTCAAATAGAAATCAAATTTAAATAATAACGTACAATATAGCAACGGACCTCCGAGTACCATAACAACCGTCTGTGTATACATGTCCGCATAAGCAACACCACATATTATTGCGATTATAACTGCCTACTTTGAAATATAATTATATGTACAACTCTTAACTGTGTTTTAATTTTGTAACTAGTTCATTTTAAGACTTTTACTTTCATTGTAATTTTATATTTTATATTATTGTATACTATTTGAAAAATCTAATACTACATCATGTAATTAGCACGCAATTCAAAAGCTAAAGAAGTTTTTAAGTGTACTGAAAGCCGAAATATGTAGTAAAGTACTACTTGAAACTACAAACATATATTATTAATTTTGTGTTGTGACGGTTTTCAATAAAGGAATATCAGCCCATTATATCAAGGAGCTACAGGCAAGACAAATTTCTGAATTTCGTATGGAATAAAATTTTACGTGGAAATCCATGGAGCAGAGTTCTTTAACGGCTTATAGTTGCTTATCAGCTCAATAAGGTCCCGTATTATGTTCACAAGAGACCACCACTGGGTCATATTCTTAGCTTGTATACTCGTGTCCATATTTTAATATTATCTTCCGATCTATGCCCCGCAAATCGCGTCTTGCCTTTAGGCTTTAAGGGAGCAGATTCTGTATGTAAACCGCCTTTCAGTGTGAGAAGGATAAATATGTTAAACTGCTTGAAAAATTGCCCCATCAATTGTTATTACATCCATGAGTACGACGTTTGTATTTAACAGACCGAACGTGTAACCGAACGATAACATTAACCTCTTTCACGCCAGTCTCATCCTCTCTGATTTGAGCAGAGTTATAACATTCAAATTATTGCCTTCTGGGTTGTCATGCATGCTGTTTCCGTCTTCAGGACAGTAAACCTTCTAATCTCAAAACGGAGGTAGCACGTTCCTATAAAACGTTACTATTTTTCTACCAAACTACACGGTGTAACATCTTAGAAGACTGTAATCTGACGAGGTACGCTCACAACCAAAAACACTTCGAGTCTGAGACGTGAAATCCACACTAAGATGGATATGAATATTAGTGTCCTCTGGGATGTGACACCATAAAGCCTGGTAGATGGCTACCGAACCATCGGTACATGATGTCACATCCCACAAGGCAGTATATCTTCTCACTTGAAATATTTTTTTAAGAATACAGAAGTGAATGCAGTAAGGGGCTAAGGGACGTTGCGTAAGCTTCAGTGACGATGTCAGAGACTAGCAAATATAAATCAGAAACATTATGACTTCAGCCAAATTCCTAGGTGTTGTGCTTTGTTAGTGGGGTTGGGGGATTGACACTGGCCGATCACCTATACAAGGCTACCTATGACGAGTTATCTAAGAGACTAAACACATCAGAAGTGACTGTGTGGGGAATTCAGCCAGGAGGCTTGGCGCGTGAAAGTAGTTCCAGCAACCGATATATTAAAATTATTTCTGAGCTTTCGAAACAAACACCGTCACTGTCCTTGACAAATTATTTTAATTCAATAATAAAAAATATATTCGGAGGCCCTAGTACTGTTCCGTGGTGCTGATACAATTGCGAAACGCTGTTACCTAACCGGCTTACTCGTGTTAGATTACCAAACAAGCCAATCTTACATGTAACCTGTCGGGGGGGGAAACAGCTCGTAACCAAAAAAATAAGGACAGTACATAAACACTAACTGAATGGAACTGAGTTCTTAAGAAGTCGACAGTTGTGCAGCCACTCAACACCTTCCCGATAATTACGGAACCAGATAATTCATTACCGTGTTCACAGCAGCCCTCCACTGGTCCCTATCCTCAACCTGATCGATCCAGTCCATACCACCCCATCCTATCTCCCTAAAATCCGTTTTAATATTATCCACCCACCTACGGCTTGGTCTTCCTAGTGGTCTTTTTCCTTCTGGCTTTCCCACCCATATCCTATATGCTTTCCTCTTCGCCACCATTCGTGCTACATGCCCTCCAATCTCATATTCCTTGACTTTATTATTCTAATTATATTTGACGAAGATTACAAGTTATGAAACAGACAGCACATTAAAACATACCTCAAACCGATTAACCATTTTAAGCCTGCGGAAGGCAGCGACAGCTGCAAGCTGTATCTATCAGTACAATTGTCCTATATGAATAGCTTCCCCAGGATATTTGCCACACAAGAGATCCGAATGACGTCATCGTGATGTCTTCTTTCTTCAGTCGTATGTTTATAGGTGTGAACGCACGAAGTGTCTTCTAATGAAATATTTTTTTTTTTTTGCAATCTGTAGAAATTACAATAAGCAAACGGTGGAATCATATAATATTGGCTTGTAGGAGGCTACTCATTAGTAGACGCCTTTCGTATAATAATCAATACAGATTAGTTGTGTTTGCAGGAGTAGAACTTACATCTACCTTACATCTATAACCTTGATCTAGCTTATAATGCCTAGAATCTGCCCGGCAGATCATTTGGCGCGAAGCGTTTAGGTCTTCTGTTCCGATCAGCTGGCTCATGAGGTCTGTTGCTAGTGCGTTTGGACGCTTGTTAAGTCTGGATTATTTATTTGCCTCTGTATTCCTCTCTTTCCTTTTCCCGTGTTCATTTCTCTTCTATGTCCTCACATTCCGTGTTTTTTTGTGTACTGTATGCCTTATCTCCTTATTTCGTTTCTTACGGTTTCTTACGCAAGTTAACCCAATTCTGAGGAACAGGTTATTAGCTTGATGGCGTGCAAGTTCATTTCCCCATACGTGTTTGTGGCAAGAAGCTCGAGGTATTAATCCAGTTTAAGAACTGAGGAATCTGCCTCTTAGAAGTTCTGTGGTGTCTTCAGCACCTGCTGTGAATCATCTGGAGATTTTGGATTTCAGATTTGTGTGTATAAGCCCAGGTTTCGTACCCAGAACAGATGGCTCTGTAATGCATGTCACGTACAACTGAAGTTGATGACGGCAGGGAGGTTTCCATGGTGTTACAGAAGGGGGGTAAAAAGGTAGGCGTATGTAGAATAGAGGTATAGATCCACAATTCTTAAACTCGGTACTGGATGGAGATGAGTGGTTAGCTTCACGTCCCTGCCGCTTTACCCACGGGGACATAGCCCACCGGTATCCGTTGTACAAGAGGCTGGGTGGGCCCCAGAGCCGATGTGGTCAGCGCAACGAATCCCCACGGCCCTCGTCTCCACGGTTCCGAGAGATAAAACCGAACCGCCGTGCCCTCGTGTCAGTAAACCGTATGAGAGCAGGCCACACCAGTCTTCAAGCAAGCCTAAACAGATTTAACTTTGTGTCCACGGCCGAATGCGAGTGTAGTGATGGGCTGCAAACGGAGGACCGTATCTTCTGGAACTGTAAGCTGTACGAGGACCAACGGGCAACAGTGATGGACATTTTGTCTGAGAACAGCACAATAGAATACCCAGAGTCGGCTATAGAGCTTTTAAGGCTAGAAGAAAAAAGATTTTTTCAAGGCGTCTGTTACTTCATAAACAACATTCCTATATTTATATAAAACAGATATGTAAGAAAAGTAAAAGAAGTAATTGTACTGATTATTAACAGTACACTCTCAGGTTTAAGTTAAGATCTATATTAAGAATCGCGGGGTTGCCGCTATTATAGAATAAGATATTTATAGGAATGTGTTACAGAAGGCCGGATGGGCATTGCCTAGGCCCTCTTTGTATTTACAATATTTTTTCTACAATAAAAAAATCCCCACAGCCGTTAATCTCGGTTTTGTAGACCGGAGCCATCACTTCCTTGAAATAGATCCTCAATTATCTTCATAAGGCTGAGTGGACCACGTTCCAGACCCAGTATTTCTCAGAAAATCTGGTAGTGCCGGGAATTGAACTCTGACCACTAGACCACAGAGGCGGTCTCAGAGAAGGGGCAATTCTCTTAAATTTTTGCTAATGTTTTGTTGGCTATGCTGCTTGTATATTCATTCGAGAGGAATGTGCGATTAATATAGTGATGAATTTCGTATTGAATTTAAATTTCAATGTTTACTTATAAAACTGCGTTTTATATTCTTTATGTGCATACGTACCTAACCTATATTATATAGGCCCATATACTCGTACGCTTACTGTCATTAATTCATCATGTGGCTCAGACAAGTACATGTTATACATTCGTTATCTAGTGTAAGTACTTTTAAATTGGTTTAGAAATGTAACCTAAACTACTGTACGACAGCTACGCTGGTCATGTCCAGCACACAACAAAATACAGTACAAAAAACTTGCCATACAATTTTGAACTTGTCATTAGTTGTGAAGGCGCCCAATAGAGTACACTATGGCTGCTGAAGGAGAGAATTGGCGCTATTAAATATTTTTAGGTTGGCAGCGAGGTTAGTGAGTTTGGTGAGATGGGTGGCATGTGAATATTATTCGGTAAAATAATTTTTTGCTGGAGCTGGAATCCTAAAAGTTTGAGTGAAGTTTGTGGTTAGTTCGTGTAATCAGTTGTGGATACCACCCGACGCGGTAGCAAACAAACCTAAGGTAACTAGATCCTCCAATAAAACAAGTGACTCAGCAGTTTCTCCGACTTCGATTCGTTACGTTATGTGTAGAGAAGTCACAGGGGCGCTTACACACTATGCAGTGTATTTGAGAAGTAGATAAGGTTTTAAAACATTTTCTGAACTCGTCTGTGTTTATGAAGACGTTTCAAGACTTCAGATTGACGTGAGGTATCAATGGAACACGATGTAAACTGTGCTACTGTGCATGTTCCAGAGACACCGAAGCCACGTGGTCAGTTGGTAAGTGCAGATACATAATCCCACTCAGGGCGTTTTTCTGTGCCTAATATACCAGTATTATCGAGTGAAAATTTCCTCCCTGTGCATCCGAACACTAAATAATAATCCGTTACGTATAACTTTAGTGCAAGTCAGAATTCTATGTTCCACTTAAAGAGACCCATTTTCTTGTGTTTTGGATCATTAAATGGGACGCAAATTCCAACCTATGGACCCTCACACAGAGGGCCCACGTGTGGGTACATTAGCCTAACGTATGAATACATGGCAACATTAAGGGGAGTACGGTCAGTATTTATGCTAATGTATCCAGGGCTATGACGTCGTGTAGCCTGGTAGATCGTCACATCAGAGCCACCTCCATGAGAACCTCACATATCGAAAAATATTTCTGGTGGAGTTTGGGGTACCCATGAAACAAATTAAGCTGATTAAAATGTGTTTAAACGAAACGTATAGTAAAGTCCGTATAGGTAAATATTTGTCTGATAATTTTCCTACCCAGAATAGTCTAAAACAAGGAGATACTTTATGGCCACTGCTTTTCAACTTTGCTTTAGAATATGCCATTAGGAAGGTCCAGGTAAACCAGGTGGGAATGAAATTAAATGGGACACATCAGATGTGAATCTACTTGGTGATAATATGGTTACCATAAAGAAAAATACACAAACTTTAATTGACACTAGTAAGGAGGTTGGTCTAGAAGTAAACGCAGAGGAAACTAAGTACATGTTACTGTCTCGTCACCAGGAAGCAGTGCAAAATCATGACACAAAGATAGAAAACAGATGTTTTGAAAATGTGGCACAATTCAGATATTTTGGGAACGACGATAAGAAATCAAAACCTGATTCAGGAGGAAATTAAGAGGAGACTGAATTCGTGTAATGCTTGCTACCGTTCAGTTCAGAACCTTTTGTCTTCTCGTCTGTTGTCTAAAAACATAAAAATTAGAATATACAAAACTATAATTTTGCCTGTGGTTCTGTATGGGTGTAAAACGTGGTCTCTGACATTAAGGGAGGAACACACACTGAGGGTGTCTGCGAACAGGATGTTGAGGAGAATATTTGGACCGTAGAGGGATGAAGTGACAGGAGGTTGGAGAAAACTGCACAATGAGGAGCTTCATAACTTGTACTCTTCGCCAAGTATAATTAGAATGATAAAGTCAAGGAAAATGAGGTGGGCAGGGCTTGTAGCACGAATGGGACGAGGAGGAAAGCATATAGGATATTAGTGGGAAAGCCAAAAGGAAAGAGACCACTGGGAAGACCAAGGAGTAGGTGGGTGGACAATATTAAAATGGATCTTAGACAGGATTGGATAGTCTGGATTGGACTGATCTGGCTCAGGTTAGGTACCAGTGGAGGGCTCTTGTGAACACGGTAATGAACCTTCGGGTTCCATAAAATGCTAGGAAGTTCTTGGGTAGCTGCACAATTGGCGGCTTCTCAAGAAGGGCTCAGTTCCACGAGTGAGTGAGTGGTACATTTCTTGTTACTGGTTTCGTTAGTGACATTAGAACTACAGCATCTGTTGTTCTCACAGAAGTTACTGTTAAAGTGCTGTATTCTTGGATATGAGGCCGTGTAGTCTGGTGAAGTTCACCGACGTCTCGGAGGAACATAGGTGATATTCGGCTGGTCTGCACGGCGTCACATTGCAGAAGTTAGAAGTATGTTTGTTATAAGTAGGCCCCAAATTCAGAGACTAGTGCCAACTCCCAGCCTTCCAGAGTAATGGATGCCATGACTGGAAATTAATAAAATGTGGAGTGGTGGAAAAAATCAAGACATACTTCAAAGTTTTCACACGTTTATTTTATTTCCCCACTCATCAGTGTGTGAACTGGCCACTTCGAATACTCAGGGTCGTAAAGGAGTGTGCATTTGCGAAATTATAAAGATATTTGTAAGAGAAGTCAAGTAAAGTAAGTAATTAAATTACATGATTAATGAATGTTGCCCACTTTTCAAATGTGCCCTTACTTTTATCTCATTCAGTATGACAGACAAGAATAATGTAGATTACAGGGACTGTTTTTATATGTAAATTGAATACATTTTTATACTGTAAAACTTATTTTTAAACGAAATTCCACAGTGACATGAACTGTCCTTGTCGCAACATTAACTCACATGAGGAATGTAACCATGGGCACAAGCAGGAATTTTGCAGGGGGCAAGGAGTTTTCCTAGGGGGAGGACAATCAGAAAATTTAGTTACAAACTTATATTTACGCCACTTAAGTCTAATTTTACTGATCGGACTGCGGCATTCATGACACAAGATCACATTTTTTTTAGTAGAGAAGTGGGGGAACGCGATAACGTAGTGGGTTGAGGCACTATGCTACAATTCGGAAGACCGCGGTTTCGATTCCCGATGAGGAATCATTGGATTTTTCAGTTGACGTAATGTTTCCAGCCGCACTATGACCCTGGGGTCGACTAAGCCTCTAACATAAATAAGTACCAGGAATCTTCCTGGGGGTAAAAAGGGACCTGCCAGTACGTAAGCCTGACAGCCTCACCGCCATCTGTGAGTCGATTGTCTAGAAAATGTGAGAGCCTCGACGTCTCACAACTCTATGGGCCTCCACAGCCTGTTACAGGGATAGTTTTACCATTTTTTATTTTTTGACTAATATTTGGAAAGTTTTCTTTTTCACAATTTCGATAATTTCCAAAAATCCAGCAGGGAAATGCCCGGTGTACACCCATTCAGGCGTCCATGAACGCAACACCTGCTGAATACCAATCCCCATCATTCCTTATATCTGGAGAAATTCATATCTGGCCCAATAATGATGCCTCATTGTAACTTTACTGCCATTGCAGCTGTCTTTCCCTGTTCGTGTGGGTATGTACCGCTGTAGTCGGATCTACACTGTCCCTGTTCTTAATTAATTAAACACTACGCCATGAAGATGCATGGGGAAGTGGATCTATGGATCCACGTATTCTTGACCTTGCCACTCGCTGAAGGTGGTCAGCTTCACGATCTGGGGAAATTGACCCCTGATACCCATACGACGAGGCTGTGTAGGCCTCAGAACTGGTCCGGAAGATGTGGAGAAGAGAAAATTTCTGCCCCTAACCGGACTCGAACTCCGAACTCTCGGCCGTCCAGCCCACAGCCAGTCGCTATACCGGCTCACATACTTAAAACTAACGGCACGTGGTGTTCCCAATCGGTCACCCATCCAAATACTAACTACTCCCATTGTTGCTCACCTTGGGGACCGGACGATAACGGGCGTTTCGTCATGATTCCTGAAGCATGGCGTATGAAGGTGGAGTTTTGAGGACAGAAATGAAGAGTGCGACTTACATTATCAATTTTTGTGAAGTAAACTGGGCGTAATATTTCTGGAAGGAAACTAGCTTTAGGTAATGAATCGTATTCCTCAAATTCGAAGGTAACGTACTTCTGCGTTTCAGTTGCCAGGGATTTCCTTTGTGAGGCAAATGCCACTGATTCACGCCCGCTCAGCTGTTTGCCCAGTACCACGTGGGACTGCATTAACCCGTTCAAACCCATAATGCACAAATGTTAAGGCAATGACTAAGCAGGGGTGGAAGAAGAATATGGAAGGAAACATCAAAAAGAGGTGCAGTAGGAAGAGAAGGAAAAGAAAAGGAAAACTAGATGATGAAGATGAAATGGAGGCGGAGGTACGAGTGCACTACAAGACGGCCACTGTATACATATCACGGATGAAAATCAGTGCAACAGGACGCTAAAATACAACATTAGGAGGTAGGAGCTAGACAAAAGGGAGGGAAGGGCGAGGAGGAGAGGAAAACAGAACAATGCGGAGGGGATAAGAAGGATGAGGGAGGCGAGGACATGTGTATAATCGCCAAAATTCCATTTATCCCGGAATATTGTTCCAATAAAACAGGCAAACAAAAAATATTAAACAAGTAGTTCTGAAAGAAAGCGAAATCAAAATTGTGTTATGACCGATGGCCAGTCGGCCAGTCTGTCTTTGTGTCAAGCCCCCATCTGGGGCCCAATATCAGATTTTTGTAACAGTCAGAGAGTTGCGAGTTTGTTGATGTGGGGCGCCCTCTCTGACGAGAGGACGGGTCTGTCGTTTACGATTGCTGGTTCTAGCCAGCGCAGTCATTCTCAGGTCAGAGTCCCGCAGAACTCATGGCCATGTTTTTCTCTCTCAGATTCGATACTACCTCAACCTGGAGGGCCAGTTCTCTCTGTGTTTGTGTCCCCCAGAACAGGGTGGCCCAGTTACACCCCCAGGCACTGGGTTCCCTTTTCGTCGCCTCTACAAGGGAGTCTGGGAAGAAAGAGTCAGAGTCAAAGTTACCTCACGTTTGGCGGTTTACCGTCAATCAGTTTGTCTTGGCGTCAAGCCCCTTAACACTAATGACTTTTCCTTTATACGTTACGGACAGCATAAAATTGTTCAACAATTCTTCTATTGTTATTTTATTACCAAATGCAGGTGAAGATACGGTGATATCCGTTCAGCGATGAGAACAGGCACGTTGAGGAAACAGAACTCTAAGAAGTAAATCCAACTGTACAAGAAAGGGAACAACTTTTTGTCTCTAACTGTACTGTCTTCTGGGTCACAGCGCCTTGGAATTCAGGCCTTAAAACTGACAAGAACGCACTCTTCATAAGCACCGCTCTGAAATCTCAAATGCGACAACTCTCTTCACTGCTTGATTCGAGTGGCCTCGCGACGGGCTGATCCCCCTTCAAGGAGTCTTACCGACTGTCTTAAGGTTAAGCAACTGAAGTGAAACAAGCGTTTTACGGATGCCCTATGATCAAAGTAGGAGAAGATGAATAGATAGATAGACAGACAGACAGACAGACAGTATATGGTGAATTTCAATCTGAGTATGAAATATTTGTCACCCACCATTTCAAATTGAAGTGATCAAAACTTTTTAACACGAAACAAGCCTTGAAGTATCCGGTCGGATAGTTAATGGCGGATTTCGGGCGGCTGGCGCTTA